GGTGGCATGGAGATTAAGGTAGCCGGATCCACCATGGCTGACTATGTGATTTGAGTCTTGGACGCAGTCATTTTAAAAAAGCTAGGGGCATGTGCATGTGTGCGCCCCAAATCCCAAGAAGAGAATGGAGAAGAGATTGCAGCATGGCCATCCCTTTGGGTGATGTTTTTTCAACTCTCCTCCTTTTCCGACAAACGTGTGTGCCCTGTGGCAAAAATATAAAAACAAAACAAAACAAAAAATAGAAAAGAAAAAGGTCTGCAGCTAAATTTCAACAAACTAATTTAGTATGGAAAGGAACAGGCAACTGGAACAATCTTAGAAACTGCACAGCAAAAAAAGTTCCTCATTATTACATATAACAAATGAAAAGCAGGAGCTCAGACAATGATAGTTAATTTCAATGAAGAATTAACACAGGAATGAGTAAATGTTATGGTATGCTTAAGTTGCCTAAGAAAATGCCTCAGAGTAGCACTTAAGATGAGATATAATGCCTTGCGCTGGAAATTTCCAATTTATCTTTGGTCAACTGTAGATCCCAAATACAGTATGTGCTTACTATGCAAACACCTCGTTATTATGCAATATGTTCACAAGATATACAGTACCTTTCCCAAGAAGGCCATGGCATGTGAATTACCAGCATTAGCTGCTAAATTGAAGTAGTCAAATGCTCTCTGTGAAAAAAGGAATTAATTAAAATCATTAGTGTTAACAGAATCTGCCCTTGGCTTTTAGCAAAAATAATTATTTCCGAACATTAAATAAATCTTGTTATGATGCAGTGGCTTTAAAAACAAGATGCCAGTTATCAATATTTCAACATAAAAATCAGTACATTCAGAAGTTTTATTTAATCAAGCAGCTGTATTAAGTTACCATATATTATGAAGCCATCTCATAGTTACAATTGAAAAAAAAAAGTCTTGTGTTTCCTAAACTTAGGAGTCAAGAAGAGGTCTGTTATTTGCAGGCAAAGTGAACATCAAGCTGCTTAAAAGACATCTAAGTGAATATTCTTTTGTCTACTCTCTATTGGTAAACTGTAAAAAAGAAAAAGTTAAGTCTTTAAAATGCATGGAGCATATATTCACAGTTCTCTTAGAAAATAAAATTTGTCGTAGAAAAACTCTTAATTCTACTTAAAGTTATACAACTAAACACACTGGCATCTGTGGAAATCCATTATCAGTTCTCTCAAGTGCACTCCCCCATCTTTGTTAAGGACCTTGTTATCACTGCTTATTCCTTCCTTCTGTTGCTGACTTAACTTCTTCATTCTCCCTCAAGTGCATCTAGGTAATATCTTATTGTTGTATTTTATTATTTTTTAAAAACTTTATTTTCTTCTGAAATTATTTTATTTAACTTTATTTTAATTTTGACCAGAGAGGGACAGAGTGAGTTAGAGAGAGAAATAGAGAGAGAGCAAGTGAACAAGAGAGAGAGAGAGAGAGAAAGTAAGAGAGAAGGCGAGCAGCCAGGTCCAGGACTTGAAACATGGTCAGTCGTGTGGAAGTCCAGCACCCTTAACCACCATGCCACCTGCTGGCCCCAGTAATAGCCTATTATTAAAGAACAAAACCAAACATGTTAAGACTTAGTTCTCCTTTGACATCCCATTTCTCTCCAATGACTTATTAAGCACCTTTCTTCACAGCCAACCTTCCCTAATAAATTGTCCACAAACACTCTCATTCGCTCTACAAACTTTTTTTTTAAAAAAATCTTTCTTTTTTCCAGGAGTGAAAGAGAGACAAAGACAGACACAGAGGACAGGCACTCCCTAAAGGGTCTTTCATGCAATGATCCACCCTCGGCCTCAGCCAGCCTCAAATTCTGGGCACACGCATGCTTAGTGCATCCAGGGAAGCTTCCAGATACAAAACTGGAACCCTCCCATATGGTTCAGCCTCATGGTATTGTTATCACAGCAGTACCTTCCAGCCTCTACAATCAAGTCTTAACTGGCTTCCATATGTACTACTTCAGAAATACAGATTAGACACCAATGACCTTCGTATTGCCAATAAAGTTTTTCTCTCATCTCACTCCACTTCTCTCTCAGCATCTGGTATGGTTTACCACACCGCACTTCCTAAAAGACTCCTTTCAGCTTGGTTACCACAATGCCATTTTCTCCTGGTTTCTTTCCTAACTTTCTACATGTGACATCTGAGTCTCATTTATTGATTCCTACTCTACCAGCTCACTTCTAAAGATGAAAGTTCTTCAGGGGTCCATTGTAGGCTCCATTCTCACTTTGTATTTTCTAGTTAACCTACCCATTCTCATGGCTTCATGTAGCCTTAGAAGATGGCAACTCCTACACTTACATGTTTAGCTCCAAATCAGTCTGTTCAACTATTTCTGAACATTTCATTTACTGCTCGAACATATTTCTGCAAACTCTGCTCCTTGACCCCAACTTGCTTCTTCTCCAGTATCTCAGTTTAAGTTAAAAGAAATACACTCTATTGGTTGCTCAAGGTATCTGTCCCCTTCGTCTTCATATCCAATCTATCATTAAAATGTTACCTTTATCACCAAAAATATCTTGAATCCACCTATCCTCCTTTACAACAGTTCTAGTCCAAAGTACATTCTCTCTTAACTGAATGTCTAGAATCCTCCCCTCTCATCTGCCTGCTTGGGGGTCTTCTAATTTATTCTCGGTACTGCTGCCAAGACCATTGGTTTTAAAACTGAACACGCTGGTCCCTGTAGCCTTAGTGTGTTGCAGGGATACACTGAGACCAGGCACTGCATCTCTCAGCACCTAGCTCTCTGCATCATGGGTGTAACAGCCACGTTCCTGTCTCAAAGTCAATGTACACACTAGTCTTTTTGCCCTGAAGGGATCTTACTTCTAAAGTCAACTTAAATGTCATCTAGTTCTCCTTGGAGAAGTGTTCTCTGATAAACTTGTAGCGTCGGCCCATTAACTAATAATAATTATTGTGTCCTTTACTTCTCTTTGCAGTAATAATCACAACTGATTACATATTTTTTGACATGAAAAACATCCTTATTAAACTTGAAGCTCTGTAAGACAAAGATCAAAGCTGTTTTATCCAATGCTGCATCCTGAATGCCTATCAATGGACGGCACACAGTAGGTACTAAAATATTTGCTGAATCAATGCAATTATGTATTGGAAAAGCCTTTTCTTTTTCTTTTTTTTTTTTTAAGAGAGATTTTTGCTATAGGGAGTGTGCACTTGCTGGATAGACAGAGACACAAAGCAAGAAATCACCCCTGGGGAGATGCCACACCACAATCCCTTCTCCTCTATTCTCCTCTCGGGATCTTGTATACGCATGTACTTGTGCCTGGCATGAGTTTTTTAAGTTGCTGGGTCCAGGACTCAAACTGCAGTCTACTGTGGGAGTCCAGTGACAACCATTACACCATATGCTGGTCCTGGAAAAGCCTTTTTTTTCCTTGAGACTGGTGAAATAATTCATCACTATGTAACTATTTTACAGGTAGGGACGATATAATACCAAGAATATTCCCAACTTGCTATACAAAAGATATCCAGTAAAATCTTATTTAGAATGAAGTTCTTCCCCTGAGAAGTATCTCAGGTTTATTAACTAGCTCATTTGGTTCTTCACTGGCCTAATGACATGCATTTTAATAACCTAGAGACAAAGAAAGCTGTAAAAAGTCACCCAAACAAAACCAAACACAAAAATCCACAGACATTTGGTACAGCAGTTTTACTGAAAAGTATATTGTTTCAATCTTTCTTTCTTTCTTTTTTTTTTTTTTTTTTGAGAGATTTTTGCTATAGGGCCTGTGTGCTCACCAGAGAGACAGAGAGAAACAGAGAAAGAAAGTGAGAAATCACCCCTCGGAGGATGGTCATGCTACAAGCCCTTCTCCTCCATTCTCCTCTGGGATCTTGGGCTGGGAGTTTTAAGCCACTGGGTCTGGGACTTGAACCGTGGTCGACTACGTGGGAGTCCAGTGACATAACCATTACACCATCTGCTGATCCCGCAATCTAATTCTTAAAGTGGATGGGATATGGTTTATGAAATAATCTTAATTAGAGTATTTAACTGCCATGGTAGAAAAATGGAATTTTATTAGTTTGAGAAACATTTACTGAGAACTTTCTATGCACAGGGCACTGACAGAGGCTGGGAATAAAGTTGCAAAAAAAGCATGCCCATGCTTTTAGATGCTAGATTCTAGTGGGGTAACAGCTGAGTTACATAATTACTTAATTTACAATGGATAAGGGACACACACAGTGCAGATTTTCAGACATTCTAGCAGTAGTACAGCTGACCCATCCCTCGAAGAGGGTTAAGGTCAGGGGAAACATGGCACAAGGTGAGGCTGAGTTCTAGAGGATGAATAGGAATTAGCTACATGAAGAAAACAGGTGGGATAGTCTTCACTCTAGAGAAAAGGACCAGCATTACAGAAGCCCTGCTAGTGGAAGGTTCTTGGTGTGTTCAGAAGTCTGAGAAAAGGTTCATGTGTCTGACTCTGAGAGCAGAGGAATGGCGAGCTAAACAGACTGTGCAAGGCCTTGGAGGGCATGTCAAGGTGATGGTGTTTAAGCTACCGAAAACTGCAAACTATTCAAGAATTTTTAAGCAGGAGAACCATACAACCCAATGTGCAGTTTATGAGATAGGCTGGTGCTTAGGAAATGCAGGTAGTAGAGGACTCTCGCAAGTGACAGATGTAGTAATGGAAAGAAGGGACAGGATGAGTGATATTTAGGACAGAAAGCAGACAAAACTTGATCAGATGTAGATCAAACTGCAATAGCTGTATGATCCTAATGTCTCACGAACACCACAAAAATTTCCTCAGTTCTATAAAATATTTCCTAATAGGTATTTTAAGACATACCTTCTATCACCTACTTACAGAAAACCAACAGTATCTATTACAATTTTGGGAAATGGTCCCAAATATTGGTAATTTTGTTTTAGAAGTAACAAAATCTTCCACACCACTCTAAGGTATATTCATATTTTTATTCTTCAGCTTCCCCAGGGATTAGTTAGACTTTGAAAGCTCGTTTGTGGTGAGTGTTTAAGTAACATGAGCTTGATACCATCATCCATTTAGCAAGAAATACATCACGAGAGTCATCTCTTGCTACAACATGAAGTGCAAAGCCCTAGGAATGGGGCAGTTACCTGATGGTTTTGTTCTACTCCGCGCCCTCCATGCAGATGTAGTTGTCCCAGACCAACCTGAAAAGTAACAAAAACAAGGCCAAAGTAAGTGGTGACATCTGGCACATTAAAATCAAAAGCAGCAGCGTTTCAGTGATAAAAAGCTATCTGCTCATGACTCAGAAAGTATAAGATTTGGTCTTAATTCCTAAAGATATTACTCTAATTAATCTAAAATTAGAAAAAAATCTATAATCATATGCTTTTAAGTAGAATGTGTTGTTCTGAGAGGCCAGACAGTGACGTGGCAGTAAAACGCAATGCTCGGCAAGACTGGCTCACACTGGAAGGGTTCCAGGTTTACACTGAGAGACCTCCCTAGATACACTGGGAGTGCAACTGCCCACGATCCAGGGCTAATGATGGGTGGATTGTGGCATTAAAATCCTGTTGAAGGTGCTGTCTTTGCCTCTTTCTCTCTTGCTCATGGAAGAAAATAAACTTAATTTGTCTCCACTGAACCTGGTCTAAAGGAAATACTAAAGGGTGTTCTTCGGGCAGAAGGAAAATTATCCGGAGAAGCTTAAAGATGCAGTAAGAAATTTACAAAGAAAAAGTAAATTTGTGAGTAAATATAAAGTAATATGGACTGTATAAATGAAAATATCTTATTAAATAGAAGCAAAACACACACAGAGTACCTAAGGTCTCTGCTTTATCTTGGACATGGTAGAAGTGCTCATTCAGACCAGACTTCAGTAAGTCAAGAACTCATGCTGCTGTGGTGTCTTGCTCACCATGAGAAGGGTAATGAAAGCAGGACTACCTTTCATGCTAGTACAGAGGGAGAGAGGTAAGAGCAAAAGGCACTCAAACCAAAAGGGCAGGAAAGGAGAGAAAGAAGAACATGGGAAAGCAAGACAGAAAGCAAGCAGACAGAAAACCGAAACCAAAATATATCTTTATGGGGCCCAGCAGTTAGCGTAATGGCTATGTTGCTGGACTCCCACGTAGTCGACCTCAGTTCGCGTCCTGGACCCAGTGGCTTACAACTCACGCCAGGCATGTGTGCGTGCGTGCCTAAGATCCCGAGAGGAGAATGGAGGCGAAGGGATTGCATTGTGGCCATCTCCCCTGGGGGGTGATTTCTTGCTTTCTGTCTCTCTGTCTCTCTCTGTCTGTCCGGCGAGCACACGTGCCCTATAGTGAAAACCTCTCAAAGATATATATATATATATCTATATCTATCTATCTATATATATATATATATATCTGTATGTAAAAGATGTTTAACTGGACAAGATAACTTTATTATTTACCGCCTCCGTTTCCAGTTTACAAGCAAGGGTGCAGAAATGACCCTCTGGGGACCAGCACTTAGCGTAATGGCTATGTCGCTGGACTCCCACGTAGTCGACCGTGGTTCGCGTCCTGGACCCAGTGGCTTACAACTCACGCCAGGCATGTGTGCGTGCGTGCCTAAGATCCCGAGAGGAGAATGGAGGCGAAGGGATTGCATTGTGGCCATCTCCCCTGGGGGGTGATTTCTTGCTTTCTGTCTCTCTGTCTCTCTCTGTCTGTCCGGCGAGCACACGTGCCCTATAGTGAAAACCTCTCAAAGATATATATATATATATCTATATCTATCTATCTATATATATATATATATATCTGTATGTAAAAGATGTTTAACTGGACAAGATAACTTTATTATAATTTTCATGAGTTTAGATTTAGATTCACTATTTTTCTTCTTCAATTTAAGTTCCTTTTTGTTAGTGATCAAACTAATTGTTCTTAGTAAGTACTTACTGCTCATCTCTCTATTCTAACTCAGAACTGCAAATATAATTTAAAAAAAGATAGATGTTAAAGTTCTTTTTAGTATCTCTTTCTCTCTCTAACACACACACACACATATGCTCTACAGGATATCATAAAATTTACACTAAGCAAGCTTACTTCTAGTCTTGACTTGAGGAAATTACGATCGAAGGTGAGCAAAGAAACGTGAACAGTAAATAGCTCTGAAGAGTATTCGATAGCCAAATATTCCAGAACTTCTTGTTTAGAGAAAGAGTTTTCATCATTGATGACTCCATAAGAGGCTTTATCGTCAGTATTAATGCTGGTTGATCCAAGTGGTGGTTTTCAAGTAGGGTACACAAGAGAGCCACCCAGTCAGGTTTTAGGAACTATCAATGTCTCAGCCTCAGAGCCCAGATGAGCCCAAATGACATCTTTTGACAGTGTAGGCCTCATGGTACAGTTTAATGCTCCTCAAATGATTCTAATATGTGGCTGACAATTGCTCAGGACAATGAAATATTACTTACAGATGGAAGTACTTGTCTCCTTTCCCCAAGATAGAAATACACAATGCAGTAAAATATTCCCAGACATTTAAACACATACCTGTGCTTGTACATCACCCTTTTCTGCTAAGAATTGGTAATACTGAATCAAATCTTCTTCTAGCATTCCACTGTTCATTCCTGGATTTTCCACTTCATCTGGCAGCCGTATTCTCTGTACTACTGAGCCTCCTGTCAGCGAGATATCACTAGCGACTGAAATAGGGGACAAAGTGATAACATGGAGGAACATCAGAAGCATTGTTCCACAGAGAGAAGTATATCTAGCTGCTGTGTGTTGACAGACACGAGGTTAAAGGACACTTTCTACAATAGTCTATAGATCACAAAATGGTAATCTACTCACAAATCAGACTTTTCCCGGGAACCAGCAGTTAGAGTAATGGCTATGTCGCTGGATTCCCACGTAGTTGACTGCGGTTTGCATCCTGGCCCCAGTGGCTTAAAAAAAACTCACGCCGGGCGCGTGTGCGTGTGTGACCAAGATCCCGAGAGGAGAATGGAGGAGAGGGGATTGTGGTGTGACCATCCCCCCTGGGGGGTGATTTCTCACTTTCTGTCTCTATGTCTCTCTCTGTCTGGCGAGCGTATATGCCCTATAGCAAAAACTTCTCAAAAAAAAAAAAAATCAGGCTTTTCCCACAAAATCTTGAAGGAATGGAATTAAGCAAAGAAAAATTAAAGAAAAAAGTATTTCTAATGAACTAGCATAAAGATAAGTCCACTTAAGACAGTCATTCACAGTATTTCAAATAGTACAATAAAAAGAGATGTTGGGCCAACTGGAAGGCCCAGTGGTTAAGGGGAATTAGCTCCCACATGGCAGACCCTGGTTGGAATCCCAGCCCTAGTGACTTGAAAAACATGCCAGGTGCATGTGTGTATATGCCCCAAATCTGGACAAAATGAGGAAATGAAGAAGGGATTGCAGTGTGATTGCACCCCACTGGGGAATACTTCTCCCCTCTTCCTTTCTCTTTTTTTGGGTAAGTGAACACCTACACTGGCAATTAAAAAAAAATAATGTTGTAATGGTATGAATGTGTTCCCCAAAAGTTCAGGTGTTGCAAACCTAATCCCCCTGGACGGTATTGAGAAATGAGACCTTTTAAGAGGTGATTAGGTGACAAGGACTCTGCCCTCATGAATGGTGATTAATGTCATTATCCTGGGAGAGGGTTCCTGATAAAAATCATGAGTTCAGCCCCTCCCTCTCTTGCTCTCTGTCTCACATGCTGGCTTTGACCCTTCTGACTTCTACCATTAAATGACCCTTGCCAGATGCTGTCATGTACTTGAACTTCCAATTTCCAGAACCTCTAGCCAAATAAACTTTTCTCTATAAAATATCTAGTCTGTGGTATCCTACAATAGCAGCAAGAAACAAAGATAAATAGATACATTAAAATTAACTCCATTTTTTTTTCCCCTGAAAGGTCAAAGAGAAAAATATATACCATGATTGGCAACAAGACGATAATGAGTCAGGGCAGATTCACAACTCTGGAGGACACCGATGCCAGCCCAGTACCGGTAACCCTGCAAAACAGCTTCAAGTGAGAAGACAGCAGATTCACATAATTAAGTGGCATTCTTTGGAATAAAGCTAACCATACTCAGAATGCATTTTGCTGTCCTTTGACCAAGTACACTAATACCTAATTTACTCTGAGTCTTACGTTCCGAGGTAATTTATTTAGCAACTTCGACAAGCAGACTATAGCTAAGAACTAGGAAATAAAGAATTAAGTTCCTAGAGCAATCGAAATAGAGGTCATGAATTTTGTGTCAAATGTATTTCACCCTTATGAGGAAATATATTCTTGCTTAGAACCAATTTTATCTTATTTTATACACAATTTTAACAAGATTGAGTTAATCTTTCAAAATAGAATTAGTAACAAATTAGCAAAATAGAAAAGACATGAGACTACTGGAATTAAGCACAGTAATGCTAGCAATAAATAATTTCAGAATAAGTGTGAAGATAGCTAATTATAAAAAACATAAAACAGAAAGAGATCTCAGGAATCATTCTTTTTAAAATTTATTATTATTATTTTGAGAGGTTTTTGCTATAGGGCACGTGCACTCACCAGAAAGACAGAGAGATGGAAAACGAGAAATCACCCCCCAGGGGGGATGGCCACACCGCAGTCCCTTTTCCTCCATTCTCCTCTCAGGATCTTGGGCAGGCATGCACATGTACCCAGTGTGAGTTCAAATAACTAGATCCAGGACTCAAACCACGGTTGACTACATGGGAGTCTAGCGACATAGTCATTATGCCAACTGCTGGTCCCGAGATCTCAGGAATCATTCTGACATATTAAAAATCATTACAAATAACTTGATAAACTTTAACAACCCTAAAGTCACTGCTGTGTAATCAATCATATGCTTAATAGTTAATTTTCTTATTCTGTCACTATTTAGAAAGTGACACTATTGGAGCCAGCAGGTGGCATGGTGGTTAAGGCACTAGATTCCCAGGCTGTGGACCACGGTTCAATTCTGGACCTAGCAGTTTGAAAATCACGCCAAATGAATATGCGTGCATGCCCAAAATCTAGACAGGAAAATGGAAGAGAAGGGAGTGTAGCATGGCCATCTCCCCTGGAGGCTGATTTCTCACTTTCCCTCTGTTGTCTATCTCTCTTCTGCAAGTGCACACATGCTATGGCAAAAGCATTACCAAAAAAAAAAAAAAAAGACTATTTTCGGGTCATAAGGAAAGTCATAAAGCATTTTTTGCATAGAAAAATATGTCATGATTTTCCTGACAACGTAATACATTGGTAAAAAAGTTTTTTTAAAATTATTTTAACTTTATTTATTTTAATTTGACCACAGAGGCACAGAGTGAGAGAAAGAGAGAGAGGGACAGTGAGAAAGCAAGCCACCAGGACTGGGACTCAAACTGTGGTTGGCTATGTGGGAGTCCAGTACCCTCAACACTGCTGGGCCCGCAAAAATAATTTTTAAAAAATTCTATCAGGGGATTAGCAGATAGAGTAATGGTTACATCACTGGACTCCCACGTAGTTGACCATGGTTCAAGTCCTAGACTTGGCGGCTTGAAACTCATGCCAAGCGCATGTATGTGTGTGCCCAAAAATCCAAAGAAGAAAATGGAGGAGAAGGGACTGTGGTGTGGTCATCCACCTCGAGGAGGTGATTTCTCACTTTCTGTTACTCTGTCTCTCTGTCTTTCTGGTGAAGCACATGCACCCTATAGCAAAACTAAAAAATTTCTATCAAAAGTATTTGGCTCAAGTGCAGTGTTACTTACACAGCATCATACTGCAAGGGTTTCCTTGATCTCCACTGTCTAGGTAAAAGCTGAGTATGATATTCTATCTTATATTTGGCATGGCAATGATAAATATCTCCCCACCCCCCCAAAAATATATATCTATATTTAGAGGTTTTTGCTATAGGGCGCATGTGCTTGCCAGACAGAGAGAGAGACAGAAAGCGAGAAATCACCCCCCAGGGGGGATGGCCACACCGCAATCCCTTCTCCTCCGTTCTCCTCTCGGGATCTTGGGTACACACGCACACGCGCCTGGCGTGAGTTTAAGCCACCAGGTCCAGGACTCAAACTGCGGTTGCCTACGTGGGAGTCCAGCGACATAGCCATTACGCTATATGCTGGTCCCCCCCAAATATATTTTGAATGTATATGCATAAAATTATCTATGACCCATCCAGCTGACCAGAAAACTAAATTTCCTTCTTTGTTAGGCCTGATATCCTATCAATGAATAAGGCTGTAGACCCTTTCCAGATTTTGGATAGATTTCTCTGCTTTCAGTCTAATTTCTACTCAGTCTATAAGAATAAACTTAATAAATTTATTTGAAACAGAGTAACATGAGTCAGAGATCATGTGCCTTATCCAGAATCAACTTATAAAGCTCAGATTACACCCTTTAGCAGAAAACAATTTGGTGAAAAATTCTCAATTCACTACTAAGCCATTTAGGAAATCAATGATGGGGCCAGCAGGTGGCATAGTGATTAAAGGTGCTGGACTCCCACATGGCCAACCGCAGTTCGAGTCCTGGACCTTGTGGCTTGCTTTCTTATTTTCCCTCTTTTTCTGTCTCGTACTGGTTAAATTTAAAAATAATAACGAATGAAATTAGACAAACTCTTAAAAAACACAAAAAATTAATGCTATCAGATAACAAATAAGAGATACTCTTATTTTCATTCATGAGACTTTTTTTTGTATAGTATACGCTTAATTTAAATGCAAAACCTATGATAATCCTATCTAAAAATTGATTCTGAAAAATAATTCTAACTCAGAGAAAGTAAGAAGAGTCATTTACTTGGGACCAGCAGATGGCATAATGGCTACATTGCTGGACTCCCATGTAGGTGACTGCGGGTTCGAATCCTGGATCTAGTGGCTTAACCACAAGCCAGATGAGTGTGTGTGCATGCCCAAGATCCTGAGAAGAGAATGGAGGAAAAGGGGTGGCAGCGTGGCCATCCCCCCAGGGGTGATTTCTCACTTTCTGTCTCTGTCGTTCTGGCAAGTGCATGTGCCTTATAGCAAAAACCTCTCCAGAAAAAAAAAAAAAAAAAAAAGAATTTTGAAGTTGTTCAATTGAATATTTAGTCTAATTAATTAATGAAAACAAATTTCAATCATAAAGACTGGAAAAGTTATGTACATTATAAACCACAAATTCTCTGCCACTCAGTATTATTAATTTTCTATTATTAAGTCTTACCAAAACCATGTGGGCTATTAGATTGCCTCCAAGAGCTACAAAATTATAATACACCAGGGCCTGTGAAAGAAAAAAAATGCTTAACAGAACATAAGCACATATTTATTCAACTCACAAATATTGTAATATATATGTATTGTAATATATGATAAACTTTCAATAGTTTACCTTTGCCTGACTTGAATTAACACCAAGTCCAGAGGCATATAGAAAGCCAAGAGCCTGAAATAAAATAATAAAGATAAGAATTCTTTTTGTGAAAACTCACCCAAGACAGACACAACTTTATGCGTGATGAAAAGATGCAAGAATATTTTAATATTAAAAGATTGGAATGCAAGGGGACCAGCAGCTGGTGTAATGGCTATGTCACTGGACTCCCAAGTAGTTGACTGCAGTTCGCATCCCGGACCCAATGGCTTAAACTCACGCTGTGTGTGTGTGTGTGTGTAGTGTGTGTGTGTGTGTGTGTGTATGTGTGTGTGTGCGTGCCCAAGATCCTGAGAGGAGAATGGAGGAGAAGGGACTGCAGAGTGGCTATCCCCCCTGGAGGGGTGATTTCTTGCTTTCTGTTTCTCTGTCTCTCTTTCTGGCAAGCACACGTGACCTATAGCAAAAACGTCTCAAAAAAAATATATATATATACATACATACATATGTATGTGTATATATATATTACCAGGACTGGCAGGTGGCATAGTGATTAGGGTGCTGGACTCTCACACAGCCAATCCCAGTTTCAGTCTTGGACCTGGTGGCTTGTTTTCTCACTTTGTCTCTCTCTAGTGAAATTAAATAAATAAATAAATTTAGGTTTTTTCGTTATAGGGCGTGTGCGCTCACCGTGGTGATAGTAAATGTTATGTTGAGAGCACTTACACTGAAGGCGCTAGCCTAATGCCAGGCATCTAATCCATTCCAGGCTCTCTTGCATTCTTTTTAGAATCCCACTGCTACCGTTACAGTCATCTTCATTTAGTGAATTATAATGAAGATTGGGACTGGGGAACCAAACACCAACAGGAATAGGAATAGTAGTACCAATTGAACATTACTGATTGTATTTCTGTATACTTAAATATAGAAAATAAGCTGAGAAACTGTTAAGATATACTCTAACCTGCTAACCTGACCAATATAACTTTATAATGAGATGGATGACCATTTAGAATACTCAGTTTTAGGAGTTCTGGTCTGGAACACAGTGGCAGGACGAGAAATGGCTTCTCTCTCTACTCCTGTCCTGCAGTCTACCTTTTACCCATGTGTTAGGCTCGTCTTCCAGCACATTGCTAAGCACATAGTAGTGACTCAGTAAATGTGGAAGGGTAAGATAAAGATATATATATATATATTTTTTTTTTTAGAGGTTTTCGCTATAGGGCGTGTGTGCTCACCAGACAGACAGAGAGACAGAGAGACAGAAAGCGAGAAATCACCCCCCAGGGGGGATGGTCACGCCACAATCCCTTCTCCATTCTCCTCTCGGGATCTTGGGCACGCACGTGCATGCGCCCGGCGTGAGTTCTAAGCCACCGGGTCTGGGACGCGAACCGCGGTCGACTACATGGGAATCCAGCGACATAGCCATTACGCTAACTGCTGGTTCCCAACATATATGCTTTTCTTCTGCTATAAAATCTCACTGATATCTCGTTTCTACTAGAAATGAGTCATATTACTTATGGTGAAAACATCCTGGTTCCTTTCTTTTTTTTTTTCCACAAGGCACTGGTCCTCCCTGCTATTCTAATATCCTTGAATATCCTATCTACATTTATAGTAATTCTAAACACTTCTATTAAGAAAGCTAACTTGATTTCCATAAGAAACTAATAATATGATGGTGTTCAGTATATCACCACTAAATAATCCAATAAAAACCATGCAATTCTCTTTATAAATTACTGCAGATTATAATGAAAGTCAGTTGAAATTAAAAGGAAATCGAATGTTAGAATAACTTATTTCATATTCTTTTCACATATAAATTTCTAAATTCCAGTAAAAATTATAAAGCCAAAATGAATAACACATCAGACCAAAATTCCTTTTGTTTATGAATTGTGAATTCTGGATAGTATATGCATTCTTAGTTCTTAGGAAAATATCACAACTTTAGTCACTCATTTCCACTGTTTATTCTTGTGGTATTTATAACCTTTTTATCTTACAAACAAAAATATGATAAAAGCAACGCTCACAAATCTTATCAAGTTTTCTTGTAATGGAATGTAAGGAATCTTCTGTGTTTCTGGTAGTCATTTTAGAGAAAATAAGGATGTAGGTATGTATCTCAGTAATGATCTATCTTGGGGGAGGAAGGGACTGACAGTGCTACCTACTCTCTTTTCTGGCTTTTCTTATTGCTTCCATTGAGGATTTTCATCCCAGTCTGATACATCATTTCTGCTTCCTGCATTTGCCTTCTTTGAGCAGCCTCCTCTTCAGCTAAGAGAAAAAAAAAATGTATCAGATGCATTTAAGCAGACTTTAATCCTATACCGATTGGTAATTGAATATCAATATTTATTCTTTCTTTTGAGTAGTCATACAAACACAATGCATGTTCTTCCATTATTTCTAAATAATACTCACAGAAAACTTGGTGTTTTTTTTTTTTTTTTTAGAGAGTTTTTGCTATAGGGCACGTGTGCTCGCCAGAAAGACAGACTTTTTTTTTTTTTTTAGAGAGGTTTTTGCTATAGGGCACGTGTGCTCGCCAGAAAGACAGACACAGACAGAAAGTGAGAAATCACCCCCCTGGGAGGATTGCCAGGCAGCAATCCCTTTTCCTCCATTCTCGTAGGATCTTGGGCATGCACACATACATGCCCAGCATGAGTTTACGCCACTGGCTCTGGGACTCAAACCGTGGTCAGCCACATGGGAGTCCAGTGATGCAGCCATTATGCCATATGCTGGTCCAAACACTTGGTTTAAGTGTGGGTTTTCCTGACACAAGGATAAGATTTAAAAGAAATTAAACTTGGGGGTTAGGTGGCGATGCAATGGTAAAACATGATGTTCTGCCAGACGGACCCACCGGGAAGGTTGCCAGCTTGTGTCCAGAGACCTCCCTGAATCTGTCAAGTACGTGTGTGCTCATGATCTGAGCTGGCTGAGTCTGGGGGTTGGATGGTGTTATCAAGATCCTGTTGGGAGTGGTGTATCTCTGACACTTACTCTGTCTTCTACTCACTGGAACAAATAAACTTAAAAAAAAAATTCACTGAAATAACGTTGTTTTAGAGAAAGCAATACTGAACTGACTTTGGAGGGTACTTCTCTGTTAATAATGAAAAAATTTTTTTTGAGTTTTGCCAGAGAGAATGTGCTCTCCCTGTAGAGACAAAAAGAAGAGAAGGGGGGAGGGAGAGAGCGGGAGAAAGAGCGAGAGAGGGGGAGGGAGGGAGTGAGTGAGAACCCCCAGGGAAACGGTTATGTTGCGATCTCTTCTCCATTTCTTCCTCCTTTCAGGATTTTGGGCATACATGCACATGCACCAGGCTTGTTTTTCAAGCCATGAGGCCCAGGATGTGAACCATACAGTTGACCATGTGGAATCCAGCCACATTTACTACCACTGGGTAGTCCCAAATATTTTTACATTTAAAAAATTACTAACACTGGGGTCAGTAGATGGCATGGTGGTTAAGGCACTGGCCTCCCACAAGACCGACCATGGTTTGAGTCCCAGATTTGGTGGCTTGCTTTCTCACTTTCTATCTCTTTCTGGTTAAGTTAAAAATAAATACCAAATAAAATTAATTAAATAAAATCTTTTGGAAAAATTACTAACATCTTTTAGTTTAAATTTATTTAAAAGTTAGTTAGATGAAGTAGAAAGTTAGTGATTTTTTTTAAAAAAGAGATGTTGCTAAAAGACAGGGTTCTTTGGACCAGCCATGGTGGTTAAGGTGCACTGACCTCCCACAAGCCCGACCATGGTTTGAGTCCCAGATTTGGTGGCTTGCTTTCTCACTTTCTATCTCTTTCTGGTTAAGTTAAAAATAAATACCAAATAAAATTAATTAAATAAAATCTTTTGAAAAATTACTAACATCTTTTAGCTTCAAATTACAATTTAAAATTGTAAAACTGCTAACCAAAAATTTCAGAATATATGCCAAAGTTAGCTAAAAACAGAGAAGGACATTAGATAACAGTAGTCAGAAAAGTACTTTAGTACCGAGGCAGTAGTCCGAGGCCACTTTACTCCTGTATTAATAAGAAATTAATTATATAACAAAAATTAGTAATTCATTTTTACAAATACAGTTTCTATTTAATGTTGAAGTTCATCAACTTTTTCACACTCACTGATGTAATACAGAAAACCTCATAACTGTTAGATTTTTCAAAATTTATTTTGCTATCAAACAACATTTTTAATAGAAGTCTAGGATGCATACAAAGACATGAATATTTCATAGGACCAATATAGAACTAGACATTCCTATAATAAAAACAAACACAATAACTGAGTATTAAACTAGTGGCCTAATCACACAAGTCTATATCCAAAGATAGACCATATTTGATGTTAAAAGGATGCCCAAGTATTCTATCAGAGTTTTAATTCTGAAGATATTATTTGGCATTAAAGGGGGTATACTCAAGATTTTCTGTTGTTCTTTTACAGATAGAATGCTTTTTTTTCTTTTTTTTTGGGGGGGGGGATTTTGTTATAGGGCACGTGTGCTTGCCAGAGACAGAGAGAGACAGACAGAGAGAGCATGAAATCACCCCCAGTGGGGATGGCCATGCTGCACCCTTTCTCTCTCATTCTTCTCTTGGGATTTTGGGCACTCACACGTGAGTGCCTGGACTGAGTTTTAAGCTGCCGGGTCCAGGACTTGAACTGCAGTCTACTACATGGGAGTCCGGCAACAAAACCATTATGCCATCTGCTGGTCCCAGAAAGTTACTTTTCTGAACACATAGCTTGTCTGCAGAGGTTAGACCCTTTACACTGACATTTATATTGAGGATAAATATATTCTACTTGTTAATGTTACCTTAGTATAGCATATTTCACTAAAAGCATTGTCAAAAGGTATTTTTTCTTCTAATCACTATTAACCATCACCATAATGGTCTATCTCCTTTATTACTCTTTTTTTTTTTTTTTTTTTTTTTTTTTTGTGGTTATAGGATGTATGCATTTGCTGGCAACAGAGAAAGAGAAATGAGAAAGCACTTTCCGGGGTATGACCACATCACAATCCCTTCTCTTCCATTCTCCTCTCAGGAGTTTGGGCACACATGCACACACACCCAGCATGTCAGCATGTTTTGCAAGCTACTGGGTCTGGGACTTGAACCATAGAGTTGGCTATGTGGGATCCAACAACCTTAAATATCATGCTATCTGATGGTTCTCCTCAAAAAAAATAATTTTTTTTTTGAGAGGTTCTTGCTATCGGGTGCATGCACTCACCAGAAAGACAGAGACAGACAGAGAGACAGAAAGCAAGAGAAACACCCTCCAGGGGGGATGGCCACACCACAATCTCTTCTCCATTCTCCTCTCAGGATCTTGGGCATACATGCACACACATGCACCTGGTGTGAGTTTGAGCCACTAGGTCCAGGACTCCAACCACAGTCAACTACATGGGAGACCAGCAACATAGCCATTACGCTACATAAGTGCCCCCCTCAAATGTTTTATGTTAACTAATTTAGCAGCCTGCCCAAAAGGCTTAAGAACAACCTTTGCACACCAACTAAAAAACCACCTCTAAGTGAGACTGAAGCAAGCTGCCTGAACCACAGCCTGCAAATTTACATGACTCTGAAGTCCATTCTTCAAGGCTACTCCATCATCAACATTGGCCATTTCTTTATTAAGGTGAAAAAAGGAGGGCCAGGAAATGGCCTTAAAAATGCTGCCCTGGACAGAGAGCAATGTGGACGCGTCCTGAGCAGCACTTACTTTCGCAAAAGCCCCACTTTTCATCTGTCTTGTAGTCGTAGGAGGTGGCACACCACAGCCTGCCGTCTTCCCTCCCATCTGACGTACATTCGTCGTATTCCTTATCCAGAAAGAGGAAAGGGAAGTGGCAGGGCTCCCCGTGTGCCGTGCCTTCAATGGCAGTCAAAGCTGGAAAGACAAAAAATAAAAACCTAAACACCTCTGGTGTTTACGAATTCAATGCTATACATTTCGGGCATTCGAATTTGAAGGCAAAGCGACAGGATGTATGATTTATAAGAGGGAATGTAAAAGAAACAGCACCAATCATTGAGGTTAAGTCAACTTAGTGAGAATGGCTAGCTAACTACTATCTATATTTTGCACAGACTTTCTGAAATTCTTGATATAGATAACCCTAGAACATTTAAAAGGTCTAATGTAAAACTACTGCCCCACAAGTGAGCAAAAAATAAGGCGAAGTACAAGTGGATCAATTTCACTACTCAGTATGACTCTTTTTTCTAAATGCCCTAAATTGATTTCAATTCTATAAATTATACAAGAATGAGGTCTCTCCCCGACCCCCAGCAAAGTTAATCACTCACATACTCCTGTGTGACCCTACAGCATTTTATTATTTATCATATATACTGAGGTTATTTCTTTACTCTAGCTCCCACTAGACTTTGAGTTTGTTAAGGGACAGAGACCATATCTCTAATCTATGAAGGGAGTATCTCTTAGGTGCTGGGAATTATGCCAGGTGCTAGAAATGAAGTAAGCACAGGTCACTGCTATACAGAACTCACTGCCTAGCAAGTAAGAGAGAGATTAAACAAAATTGTGATAGATGTTACAAAAAGGAAAGCCTCCCCTGCCAGAAATTGAGGTTTAAATTAAACTAGACTTTGAGCTTTCTGTTTAGAAGGATTTAAATCTTTTTTTTTTTTTTTCCAGAGAGGTTTTTGCTATAGGGTGCATGCACTCGCCAGACAGAGAGAGACAGAGAGACAGAAAGTGAGAAATCACTCCCCAGGGGGGATGGTCACACCACAATCCCTTCTCTTCCATTCTCCTCTCGGGATCTTGGTCACGCACGCACATGCAGCCGGCATGAGATTTAAGCCACCGGGTCCGGGATGCGAACCGCGATTGACTACGTGGGAGTCCAGTGACATAGCCATTACGCTAACTGCTGGTCCCCATAGAAGGATTTAAATTTTCAAAGATGTCAAGGAATAGGGGTAGATAACAGGTGGCGACGTAGGTTGGGTAGAAGAATTGCAAGGGGAATTGTCTGTGTTAAGAATCAAATGAATGGCAAAGCAGCATGCAGAAGTCAGACTGGGGAGGTTCTTACTAAGTCTTTAAAAGGAGTTTGGACTTGTAACCTTAGAACAGTGCAAACTTACTGAAGAGCTTTAAGTATGAGTGATGTGCTCATACTTATTAAAAGAATGCTAGATGGAATGAAGGGCATGAGGGCTGGATGCAAGGTGACCAGGGTAAAGATGTGACAGAAGTCTGAGAGCCAGCTGTAACCTAGAGTGGGCAGTGGAATGAAAGGCATAGATATACTCAAGAGGTGCTAAGGCGGCAGACGTGGTGCCACTCTCTGACTAACTTTGCGGATCAGAAGAGGAGTGAAGGAAGACTCCCAGGTATTAGGCTTCAGATGTGCATAGAAAAGACTAAAAAAGGAGTAAGACAGAAAACATTGAAGGGGGAGTAAGTTACTGGATAGGGATGAAGTAAGATCAGGAAAAGGCAACTTAAGCTTTGATACCACCACATTCAAGGTGAAGATGTCTTACACATCTTTTTGGTTGTAGCTAAAGAGAAAGTTCTACAGTATACAGACAGCACTTGAACTCAAGGGTATGGTATAAAATGTTGAGTGAGAGGTATACGAGAAGACCAGAGGGCCAGGACTAAGCTGAGAAGCTCACATGGAAGGCTTGGATATATGACAGTGTCTGCTGGTCACTTTTTTGTTTTCTTTTTCTTTTTCTTTTTTTTTTTTTAGTTTTGCTAAAGGATGCATGCACTCACCAGAAACAGAGAGAGACAAAGAGGGAAAGTGAGAACTCATCCCCCTAGGGAAGATAGCCACGCTACAATCCCTTCTGCTCTCAGGATTTTGGCCGTGTACATACACGCCTGGTGTGACTTTTTTTTGAGAAGTTTTTGCTATAGGGCATGTGTATTCGCCAGAAAGACAGAGACAGAAAGAAAGCAAGAAATCATCCCCCCCCCAAGGGGGGATGGCCATGCTGCAATCCCTTCTCCTCCATTCTCCTCTCAGAATCTTGGGCATACACACAAATGCACCTGGAGTGAGTTTAAGCTACCAGGTCTGGGACTTGAACCAGGTCGACTACACGGGAATCCAATGACATAGCCATTATGCCATCTGCTGGTTCGCTGGCATGACGTTTAAGCCATCAGGTCTGGGACTCAAACCATGCAGCCAGCCATGTGAGATCCGGCCATCCTACCTTCTTTATCATGGCCCTGTTCACAGGTCACTCTTACACAGAGAATTAAATTGGGCAGAGGAGCTCAGTGAAGAGCATAGGAATCCTACCATTTATTACCTCTGTGCTTAGAGCAAACTATTTAATGTTTCTTTCCCTTATTATTATTATTATTTTTTGGAGAGGTTTTCACTATAGGGCATGTGCGCTCGCCAGACAGACAGAGAGACAGAAAGCGAGAAATCACCCCCCAGGGGGGATGGCCACGCCGCAATCCCTTCTCCTCCATTTTCCTCTTGGGATCTTGGGCACGCACACACACGCGCCTGGCATGAGTTTTAAGCCACCAGGTCCAGGACACGAACCGCGGTTGACTACGTGGGAGTCCAGCGACATAGCCATTACGCTAACTGCTGGTTCCCCTATAAAATTATTTACAAATAATTCCCTTATATCCAAATAGGGATAACAGTCCTTACTATATAGGATTACTTGTAAAGACTAAGATAAAACATGTAAAGGACAATTCCCAGTTTCAAATCAATGATCACAGAGAAGAAATTCCTCATAACAGTGGTAATTTCAGTTAATAGTCTTCACATGGAAAAATTCTGCAACAATTTCAAAGTTATTCTCTTAAAAACCTCCACAAAAGCAGTATCAGTTTTAAAAACAAGGTAATCAATGCTCTGGTATAATGAAGTTGACTGGATAGGAAATTTAAATTTGTGATAGCTAGTAATAAAATCTAATACTTAAAATGAAAACAAAAAGGGACAGCAGGTGGTGTGGTAGTTAAGGCACCATACTCCCACATGGCCAACCATGGTTTGAGTTCCAGATCTGGTGGTTTGTTTTCTTACTTTTCCTCCCCCGCCTCCTGCTTCTCTGTTTTTCTCTGGTGAGCACATGCATCCCACAAATTAAAAGTAATAAAGTTAAATAATTCTTTTAAAAAAATGAAGTGAAAAATTCTGATACTAATTTTGCAGGTTCATGTAAAAACTCACATTTTTCTAGATAAAGAAACATATTTGATTCTATAATGACACAGTAGGGGCTGATGGTGGCAAATGGTAAAGTGTGATACCCTGCAAGACAGCCCACATGAGAAGGTTGCTGGTTTGTACTTTAAGACCTTCCCGAGTATGTTAGGCATGCGTGTGCCCATGCCCATGCCCTGTAACTGGCTGAGGCTGGGGTGGATCAGAGCATCAGGACCCTGGCAGAGGTTACCACATCTCCGTGTCTGTCTCTGCCTCTAATTCATGTTATAAACAAACTTAAAGTGCCAGTGGTGCAGGGCAAATAAAGTAGTATTTGCTGGTGCTGGGAAACATGTAATAGTAACTTTTTGGGAAAAATACCAATGTTATGTGTCCTGTTATGTGAACATACACTGTATTAAAGAAGGTAAAATGTATTTTTCAGAAGAAAAATGACATGTACCCACATGGAGAATGAACAAAACACAAGATCAGAGTTCACACAAAGCTCAGCTCTCTCTGTAAGAAGCAACTAATCAGTCTGAAGCAGAAAGAGAAGTAAACTCTGACTCAACTTGCCCAGAACAAAGTTTCCTGACAATCTGATGGCAGACACTGTCAACCATACAGAGTGAAACCTGCTTAGAAAACTGCTGTTTACTAGTAGCAAGTTCTCCAAAACAATGGCTTTAAGTGATAGTTCTTTGACTTGAAAAAGGCTTCTTTATAGAAGAGACAGAGTGCTCTTCTATAAAGATGGTTTCCTAAAGGAGTCTCCTTGGCAAAATAATTTCTTATAAAAACCAAATCAAACAAATAACCAAAAAGGTCTGTTCATTCAAGTTGTTGCAGGAAGCTGTTTCTTTTATTCCCATCTTCTGTTTAATCCGATTGCTAACTAGGT